TATTTAATATAACGAAGGGCACTGTGACAATAAAAATAATGAGAGACGTCGAAGGCCTGGACTAGAAAAAGGTTTCTTAGCTGTAGCACTGTTGACGTTCGGGGTCAGATAATTGTTTGTTATGGAGGGCGTCCTTTTCTGTTGTAGGATGTTTAGCAGCCCCTGGCCCTTACCCACAGATGCCAGCAGCACCTCCCCTCAACTTGTGACAACCATACATGACTCCAAATATTGTCAAATGCCCCCTGGGGGGCAAAATTTTCTCTGGTTGAGAACCACTGGACTGTAAAGATGGAAGCAGGAGGGTTTATGATATGTTGTAGAGGCTGAGTCTACGTGTCTTACTGATGGATTTGATTTAGGGGAGTGAGGCTTCAAAGTTTCAAAGATGATGCCAGATTGCTGGCCCAAGCAATTGTACGGATGATGGGGCCGTTTGCTGAGCTAGGGATGACCAACTTGGGTCAGGGCGAGGCTTGTGGGCATTGAGAGTTCTTTTTGGCTCTGATGAGTGAAAGGTGCCTACTAGGCCTGCAGCAGAGATGCCACACCCCATCCACGAGTGTCCTGTGTGAGGGCATGAGCAGAAAGGTGGTCGTGGAAGGCCTGGGGCCTCGGGCCGCTCCCTGAGAAGCGTGGTGCTCTGAGAGTGGGCATCTTTGTCTTGTTCTTGATAGCAGAGGGAAAGCTTTTAGCTTTTCACAGTGGTGTAGCTGTGGGCTGGTCATACATGGCCTTTATTATATTGAGGTACGTTTCCTCTATACTTACTTCATTGAGAGTTTTTATAAGAAATGGATGTTGAGTTTTGTCAGACGCATTTTCTGCTTCCATCGACACGATCGTAAGATTTTTATCTTTCATTTTGTTAATGTGGTGTATCACGTTGATTGGCAGGTGTTGAACTGTCCTTGCATCCCTGGAATAAATCCCACTTGATCATGGTGTATGATCCTTTTAATACATTGTTGAATTTGGTGTGCTAGTATTTTCTTAAGAATTTTTACATCTGTGTTTATGAGGAATAGTGGCCTGTAATTTTCTTTTTTTGTGGCATTCTTGTCTGATTTTAGTATCAAGGTAATGCTGGCCTTGTAAAATGAGTTTGGAAGCATTCCCTCCTCTTCAGTTTCTTGGACGAGTTTGAGAAGGATTAGTATTAATTCTTTTTTTCCTATTTGGTTGACTTCACCATTGAAGCCACCTGGTCTTGGACTTTTGTTTATTGGGGGGTTTTTGATTGTTGATTTAACGTCTTTACTAGTAATACATCTTCATGATTCTTTCTTGGAAGGTTGTTATGTTTCTCGGAGTTTCTCCATTTCTTCTAGGTTGTCCAATATTTTCATGTATAATTGTCCACATTAGTCTCTTATGATGTTTTGTATTTCTGTGGTACCAGTGGTAACATCTTCTCTTTTGTTTCTGATTTTGTTTAAGTTCACTGATCCCTGATTTAAATGATAAACAGGCAAACCTGGGTTCTGTGCTGGGCTCTGACTCTTACTGGCTGTGTGATTTTGGGCCAATTCCTCCACCTCCCTGTGCTTCAGTTTCCTCCCTTGTGAAATGGAGATAACACTGGGTTTCATAAGGTGGAGAGAGGATGGTGCCTGTAAAGCATGGTACCTGGCACATAGTGAGCATCCACTGAATGCTAGGTGCTTTGATCATCGTGGTTCTCATGGAGATGCTTTTCCTTGTAACTGCACCTTTTTTGTCCCACACACATTAAATGATCACAGATTGGTTTAAGTGTTTTATTTTCCCAGTGGCTAGGAGAGATAAGGGACCGGGTGGAGCCCCACCTGAAGCTTGGGTTTCTCTGTCCTTTTCCAGGTCTCACTTACCTTGATGACCTGCTGCCCAAACTGTGGGCGTTTATCTGTGAGCTGGGGCCCCACGGAGGGTTAAAGCTCTTCTTGGAATGCCTCAGCAGTGACACTGAAGAGTCCAAGCAGCTCTTGGCCATGCTGATGCTGTTCTGTGACTGTTCCCGGCACCTCATCACGTAGGTTGACGGCTGCGAGGCTGCATTCTTTTCCTGGAATGTGGAGAGACCAAATTACAGTGTCAGCAAGGAAGCAGTTGCTGATGCAATTACTGCAAATGTTTGGGCCTGTCCTTTGACGAATTAGACAGGACGTGTACAGAGTGGGTGGCACGTAGTAGGGCTTCAGCAATTTTTAGTTCCCATCCTTTCAGGGCAGCTGGGACAGTACCACTCAGTGTGGGCTTTGGGATCTCCTGGAGCTGGATTCAAACCACACCTCAGCCATTTATTTGCTCGCTGTGCTAGGTAGTTAACTCGAAAATTCCATAACCAGGGTGCAGGACCTGGCTCAGCCAGTCACTGAGACACCCTGGGCCAGCGGAGAAGGGGCTCTGCCTCTCTGGCTGAGTTTCTTCATCTGTAGATGGGAATTCATAGCACCTGCCTCTCAGCCCTGTGAGAAGATGTGGAAGAGATAATGCTCACACAGTGCTGGCAGAGGCCCTGGCACAGGAAGAGCTCGGTATGTGTCAGCTGTCCTTCCTGTCATTATTGTCAAGCTGACTGTGGGCAAGTGGCCTGACCTCTCTGAGCCTCAGTTTCCTCAGCATAGAATGAGGACGATATTACCAATCTGGAGAGGCAGTAAAAGACAAGGACTGTCAGGAGCATGGTGCCTGGCACTGTGGGAAGTTAACACACGTTAGTCCCATTCAGTTCCTTTTCTTTAAGCTTATGTGCCTACTTGTGTACTTGGGATTCTTTTATTCCGCTTTTTCTCCAGAAGGTTGGTGAAGAATTGTAAGATAGAATGGACCTCGGGCAGTTACATTCAGGTTAGAAGGCGCTGGCCGGAGGGGATTAGGGACATGGAGGTGGCAGATTGGGTAAGAATCACAGAGGCAGGGCTTAGTGAGCAGCTGGAGGCGAGAGTGGGGGTCCGTAGGGGCTGGTGAGACACCCTTTAATTGCGGGGTCGAGGGTGACCCTAGAGTGAGTCAGGCTCTAAAGTGAATAGAACAGTTATAGGAAATTTTCAGATAGAGCCACATCTTAGGTGGTTCATTTATTCCTATATTCTTTCAGCCATTTATTCATTCACTCTCAAATATTTAACAAGTAGCTACCAAGTGCTCCTAGTGTCTGTTAGAGTAGAGCTTTTTATTTTTTTCTTAATTGTATTTTTTAACTTTTTACTATGGCCAATTTCAAATAAATAGAAAGTGGGGGAAATAGTACAATGAGCCTTCGTGTGCCTGTCACCAGCTTCAGTAGTTATTACCAACTCAGGGCCATTTTTGCTTCATCTCAACCCCCCAGATTATTTTGAAGCAAGTTCTAAATATTATATCATTTTATCTGTAAATTTTATCTGAAAGGTAAAGCTTGTGTCTTGACCTTATTTTGTCTAGTAAGAGGTACAGATTTTCTTTTCCCGCCTTTTCTCAGTGGGAAATTGTGAATAATTTTCTGTCTGATTTAGGATCCTTGATGACATCGAAGTTTATGAAGAACAGATTTCATTCAAACTGGAAGAGCTGGTCACCATCTCCTCTTTTCTGAATTCCTTTGTGTTCAAGATGATCTGGGACGGAATCGTAGGTAAGGTGAAGACGTCAGCCATCACTTAATTGATGCCACACTGGGGAGTTCAGAATCTGAAACATCAGCTGATTCTTAGCCTTACTACCTGTCAGAGTTCACTGAAAATGCACATTCTTCACATAATTAGAAGTTTTATTTCTTCATTCTATCTGTGACCTCTTAAGATAGCAGTGTGGTGATGGAAGTCTCACTCTCCTGGGCATCCTTCAGGATTGGCGTGCACGTGTAAAGGATTATTCATGAGGATTAATTTTGCCCTGAGTCTCCTTTTGATTCTTTGAGTTGATTTCCACGAAGGTGAAACATGTGCCTAGTCACGCTTCAGGTTACAGTCCACCTCTTGAAGTGTCTCCAGTTGTTTGTACAAAGCTTCGATTGAAAAGATCCTCGCCTGACCCACAAGTGGGAGGCAGCATAAGTGATTGTGTCTAAGAAATTCCCGGATCCTGCAGGCCCATAGAATGTGCCCAGGGAGCCTTTTAAATCTGTTGGTTCCGTATAAAGTTCAACATAAGGGAGATGAAGGCGTCGCTGGGCCTGAAGGACCGCGGGAGGAGACATGGGCTGTCCTGCCACCCCCTCCAGTTCTGATCAGCCCCACGACTGTGCCTCTCCTGGTTGTATGCCCCACAGAGAACGCCAAGGGCGGGACCTTGGAGCTGTTCCAGTCCGTCCACGGGTGGCTGATGGTGCTGTATGAGCGGGACTGCCGGCGGCGCTTCGCCCCTGATGACCACTGGCTGCGAAAGTGAGCTCGGGATGCAGAGGGGTTTGTGGAGGCCCGAGTCCCTCTACTCCGCTGCCGGCAGCGGTGCTGCCTGGGTGCTCAGTGCTCATGTTTTAGGGCAGAGAGGAGTTTGCCCCTCTCTTCATCCTGTCCTTTCATCTGCCTGAGGAGCGCTGCTGTTCCCATGAGGCACCTGTCAGGACAGACACCTCGCAGGCTCGTCTGTTAGGACTTACGCCAAAGACAGTAGAGCTCCATAATGGCGACAGAGCCCAGTTGCATTTAGCGGATGTTTCTTGTGCAAACTGGGGAGAGGAGTTCTTTCAGCTGAACTAAGCCACAGGCTAAGATCATTAAATGGCAGTTTCTATCAGCAGAATTAGCAGGGTAAAAACCATAGCTAGGTTTTTGGGAGGTGGGGTGGGGAAATCCTCTTGCGACAGCTAAACATAAGATCATGTCTGCCCTTTTTTTCCCAGTGACACATCAACTCTTAGGTAACTCATGAAGTTGTGGCCCTGGGTGGGGACTGGCACATGTTTTCTGTAAAGAGCCAGATGGCCAGTATTTTAGGCTTCGCACACCAGGCAGTGTCTTTTGCACCAACTCAGCTCTGCCTGAGACAGTATGTCATGGATGGGTGGGATGGGGTCCATTCAAACTAGTTACAAAGACGGGTAGCAGGCTGGACTTGGCTGCAGCGGGCCAGCCCTGCACTAGAGAATGGTTTTCTCATTTTATGATCCCAAACCCATGTCTTTGATTTTAAGGGATCTCAAACCCAGTGTGCTCTCCCAAGAACTCGACAAGGACAGAAAACGGGCACAGCTGATCCTGCAGTACATCCCACACGTCGTTCCTCACAAAAACGTGAGTTGCTCCCAGAGCTGGGCTCCTTGTGCGTCTTTCTGTTCCACCACGTGATTCCTGACTGTCCGTCTTCCTGAGAGCAACTGGGAAATGAGTAGATGAGATGGTTCATTCGGTAAATGCACGTGCTGCTTGGCTCTGACTCTGTGCCTGGTGTTGTGCTAAGTGCTGGGGGTACAGACGGTGTGAACTGGCAGTCCAGGTGCTGGGCTGCATGCTCTGGGGATGGGTGCTGTGGGCCCCCAGGGAAGGGGGTCAGGTGAAGGCTCCAGAGGCAGAAGTGGACAGTGTTGCCGGGCCCCAGGTGAGAGAGAATATGGTGCTGTTCAAGAACCAGGTGGATGGTCTGGAGAGAGCATATAGGAGCAAGTCGAGAAAAAAGGCTGAGGATGTTGATCGGAGCTGCAGCCTCGTAAACCAAGGGCTGCAGCTTGGATTTTGTCCAGAGCCGTTGGAGAGTTTTCAGCTTTGGAGGCACCTGTCAGAGCTCTGCTTCAGAAACATCCTCTGGCCGTAGCGTCGGGGACTGGCTAGAGCAGGTGTCATGGCAGACTGGCCTGGACTCGGTGGCCACAGGAGTAGAAGGGGGATCAAGAGATTTTTAAGGAGGTGGCATGTCTTTAAAAGAGAATAATGACATTCAGGGGAGGGAGAGGAGTAATGCAGAGGATGCTCAGGGTTTGGCTTGGGTGCCCAGATGCTGCAGAGAGTGATTCCCGGACGAAGGAGCACAGACAGGAGCCGGTCTGGGAAGTGCTGGTCAGGTCAGCTTTGCACAGGTAGCACGCGATGCGTCTGCAGCTCCTCAAGACCAACAGACGTGTGGGTCTGGAGCTCAGGGGAGAGGACTGAGCTGGAGGTAGACTCGACACACAGACAGCACCCAGATGGCCTAACTGCATTCACAGGTAGGGACAAGGTGGCCAGGAGCCCGAGGGAGTGGGAAGACCAGAGGACGGAGGCCGGAGCCCAGGCCTGCGTTCTCTCATGTGTTACCGTCATGCCATCTGCCCTCTACGCTGGACCTCTCCATCTTTCTTGATCTCACTTGAGTGGTTGGCTTATATAATGCCTTTATCATTTTCATTAACGCTTGTAAAAGCCTTCACTCCACCCGCTTCACACACAGCACTTCAT